ATTTTGAAATGTTGAAAATCTTTCACTATCTGTTCAAGTGTATTGCACATTGAATCACGCTACTGTTCAAAACAGATGGATTTAAAGTGTGTTGCATTTCAATGCGATGTGAATTGCTTGCTCAGAAAGGTAAACATCGAAAACAAGACTTGTGACTTCATACTTATCAACCAGCCTCATATATGAGAACAACCATGGGCCAGTTAGATCGAACGAAGACAACTGCAGCAGCACACTCCAACATTCCATGATCGAATCTCATGCAAATCAGACCCATTAAAAAGATACGTGAAAGCTCTGGCCTCTGGCAGTTTTGTTTATATATTCGTCGATTAATTTTTAGAGTCGGTAAAATAGAAGTCGATAAAGTAGAATATTGTAGAATATTGAACTACGATGTGCAAAGCAATTGATATCACCAAATGAGGCACATAGAATCCAAGTGTGTCACAATTCAATTCCATAGTGTTCAGGCATGATTCATAGCATAAGATTCACAAATGAAATGGATGTGTTTCACAATAAGCGCAAAATTAAGTGTGAGACACATGATGATGACTTGTGGAATTTTTTGAGTGAAGATTGTATGTTTAGAGGTGGAGGACTGACTGTTCATGACTATTCTGTATAGAAAAGTAAATTATTTAATTTGTATGTTTTACAGCCAATTTTCATATACATATAATCCTTTATTTGGATGACAGTCATACGGACGCTCATCAGCTGATGACGAATTCAACCATAAGGCAACACATTCAAAAATCGAAAGCATATTGTTAAAGGGCTCGAGCAATGCAATAATCATTCGAAGTATAGCGGATGTTTTCGTTCAGTGTAGTTGTTCGATTCTTCGTTTGTCATAAGCAGTTGAAATGCGATGTTACGCCAAGTTTTGCGCTACCCTGCGAGTGCACCGGTAAAACGAAGCTTGCGCTACCCGAAAGATAGCGTCCTGCGCCGTGCGTTGTTGAAATTTGGCGAAATAGATCCGGAAACGGAAATTCTCGGTAGTAGGGTTAACTACCTCATTGCTGGCCTATTAAGCACAACCCAACTAACAATTTTAGCTGCAGACTAGCTTATACAGCCGAAAATTGCCTTATGCAGCTAATTTTTGTCTGTATAAGCTGATCTGCAACTAAAATTGTTTGTTGGGAACCCGCACTTAATCTTTCTTAATCTAGCGCAGTTTAGCACTGATGGCTTCCAAATTTATTTACCTTTCCGTACGTATCGTAAGATTTGATAAAGAGAGACCAATCGTTGAGATATTGTCAAAAGTCTTACACTGCTTCTTGACGCTAAACTCGGCCTACGGATTCTAAACTCGGCCTAACGCATTGAAACGCTATAGAAAGGTCAATGAATTCACTTTGGCCTATCGGATGAAGATAAAAGTTGATTCGATCGGAGCGCTTCTTTTGTTTTTGGGAATAATGGGTACAAACCTTTATATCACGCGTTCTCATTGACTTCGTTCCGTAGCTTATTAACTAAAGTATCGTACCAATCGCATAATTGACTTGTTAACTCTGAAATCATGGATTTATTTGAAGTTTTCTGTTCGATAGGCTCAAAATGGGCGATTAAGCCGAAGTAGTTCTCAACCCTACCAGGCACATTTTGAACCAGTTGATATCGAAGTGAACCAAAATTTTGTACACCGGAAGTTCGAATCAATTTGCCTGAATGCCATGATATTCAATCTAAACTGATCAATTCATTAATTTCATATCGTTTGAAAAACATGTAGAAGTTGAAAAATAAGAAAATACGATTCAATAACAAATCTATGATGATGTAAGATTTTACCAGTTGATAATTTTGTTTGGTTTTGAGGCACACAATCAAACGTTGGTGCCGTGAATTTTGGTCACTTGCTGGCGGATGCACTAAGACGGTTTAAGCACGAATAACTTAAGACTATTGCCTAAAGACTAACGGCTTATAGTTATGAGCGTGTCTGGTGGATTTATAGACTCTCAAGACTGTCATGGAAGAGCTGATTTGGGGCCAAAGATAGATTAAACGGTCCTTCTGTACATTCCAACTACTACAGTCAACTTTCGCTCGTTGGGCTAAACCCGTAGCCCACTTAGTGAAAGGTTTTTGTTAGTTGGGCTGATCTGTCATGCTGAAAATTGGTTGAGTGATACACCGATTGTTTATTATCATCACAATCCTTTATCAACTATCTAAATTGTTCAAGCCCCTTGAAAAATAATCAGCACTGTCAGAAATGACGTTTGACTTGGATTTGGGTTGGCTACACCTCAACTAACGGAAGCCCAACCAAAACGAAGCCCACGTAAACATAGCCCAATGAGCGAAATTTAACTGTATATGATTTTTTTTTTTGTTCGTAAGCAGTTCACGACTGCTCGATTAAGTTGCGAACAGTGGGATTTTCCTAAACATGCAGAAAATTGATAAGATCAAAATAATAAAAAAAACACCCAGTTTGTTAACTTCTTAAAATAACAGTAAAAATGGTTCAGTTTTGACTGTTCAAATTTGTTCCAAAATCATTACGTCTTTCAGACCTAGGTTAAACCAAATATATCATATAAACAATATGATCCACTCTTTCGCTTAGCTGACGAACCGAGTCCTTAGTGATGATTGCGCCTAATAAGGCTACCAATGTAGCCGAGGGGTAAACCAAATGAAATTAAATTAAAACGTGTGTTAAAGCAAATATTACAAATTAACAATATGGTTCATTTTCCTAATTCCCATATGTTTCTGAAAAGACGCAACAGTAACACCTGTGTAATAGTTACTTAAGGGGGTATTCCCGATCTTTTTTTTTCAAAAAATTCAAATTTTTTTTTCACGTTTTTTTGTACTTTAGACTATATACTTTCATCCCCCCAAGCCGTTTTCCGATCAGCGAATTCGGTGTCCAGGCGTAGCTGACTAATAGTAAGGACCCCCAAAATGGTTTTAACTAAAGTCAAAACTTTAAACGCGTTTTTCTCGAAACCACATTTTTTTTTATCGGGCGAAGATTTTTCTCAGAAACTATAAGAGATATTGACTTGAATCTTTGCGCATTTTGTTCCTTATTAAATTCTTTGGAGCTTGTCCCACTTTCAGCCAAAAATATAAACATTTAACATTGTTTGAAGCACCTTAAAGCTGCAAAAAAGCGGGCTAAAAATCGCCTGTTTTTTCATATGGCCGCCATTTTGTTAATTTGCAAGATTTTTTGCTGCCAACGGGAGAAGCTCCAGAGAATCTTATGCAGATTATTAATTTCATCACGAAATCTGTTTCAGATGAAGCCGTTCCAGAGAAAAGTCTTCGCCCGTCCAGGCGTTTGCAGCGAACAGGGGTTTGTTTGCCGCCATTTTGTGACGTCAATAATGTCTTTTTTTATGTCGAAAAAAATTTATTTGTAAACTTTAATGTTCAATAAACAAGAATCCCAAAGAGTTAGGCGCATTACTATTCATTTTCCTTGAAAAAATAATAATTGAAAAACAATCCGAAAAAAGGCAAAAGATTGGGAATACCCCCTTAAACAATTCATGACTTTATTATTTAAACGTGTAATAAATTTATAAGTTTTGTAAAATAAAAGATGTGGCAAACAGTATTAGCCTAGATGTTATTCTAAGACCAGAAGGTCCCGAAAAAATGTACTTAACATGTTGGCTCAGCTCTGGTACTCTCTTCGGTCCCAAGCTAATCGATGCACCCCTCAAAACATAGGAAAATCTACGAACCCCTTATTTTATCTGTCAAACTTTCATAGCGAATCAAAACAAGCATAAGGTAGTACTAGAATGTCGACTAGAATGGGGTACGTTAATCGATTTGCTTGGGACCAATAGGCTAGTCAAGAAGTGAGCCAATTTAAAATAATTAGTTTCCACCGGTTGCTATTAGATTAAATGTGAACCAATGCAATAAAATAAAAAAAAGGTAGATTATATCTGCCATCACTCTTTACATACATACAGTCACAACTGACAGGAAGCAAACTTTCAATACGCTAAGAATCGTTAACCCATATTTGGGTGATAGATTCACATACATGGTAAGAAAAACACTCAAAATTAAGTTTAGTTTAGTTTAGTTTCTCTATTAACGAATCTCAAAATTAAGTTAAAAAAAAAACTCAACGTTTGGTTCTATCAGAAAAGTGGCATTAGTTCAAATTTACTCATCTATTGAGTAATAATATATGATCTCAAATTAAAGTTCATTTTCTGTTAATCATTGTTAAGCTCAAAACGTATTTTTTTTCGCAATCGATTGATAATAATAAGACTTTCTATTTAGGGGAAATGATTCTAATGTTGGCCTATTGATTGGGCCCATCGCTAAAAACCTGCTATTTATCAATTTTATATAGATGAATGCGTCCTTGGGACGGTCCTCATGGATATTTTTGGTCGTTATTGAAAATTTAGACGATTGCTGAATGTATGGGTCCAAATTAGGGGCATTTAGGCCGACATTACATCCATTTCCCTTATATATTAATTTTAGAACGAAAATAAAAAACACTAAATTAATAGCATCCACATAAATTGACAACATTCTATTCAAATTTCACCATTTCACCACTCTGAAATAATGCGAAAACCAATAACGAAAATGAATGACGCACAGATTCCCGGAATACTGCAACTTTGTTGTTGTTAGTTATATGTGAAACACAAGCTCATCCCTCTCCCATTGCCGCCCTACAGGGAAGCAACAAAGCAATCGGTCACGTAACCAGTTGCCCCCTTATATCGCTGCGGTGTGGTTTGAGGGGGAAAATAAATGTATCATCGTCATAAAAATTATATAATTCTGTATGTTTTAGCTTCGTTGTGCAATCACACACCCACACACACACATACGTACGAACAAAAATGTTGCGGTCTGCTCTAGAGCCGTGCGTCAATTTAGCTAGATTGGTTTTCTATTGCCAACGCATCACACGTTGCCGTCGGCTTATAATTGGATTATTTCTCATGGTTCCTTCTCTTTCTCTCTTGCAGGTGTGCGGAAATGCGCTTAGGGGGCGCCCCCGGTGGCGGAGACCCCCTAGCGATGGGTGCCGGGAACGATTACGCCGAGCTGTGCGACCTGGGCCCGTCCCGTTGGAGCTCCAGGAGCGGCTACCAGCAGGTCTCGCCGCCGGTCAACTCGATCTACCACCACACTGGCGGCAGTATTGCTGGTGTCGGCGGCGGCGGCGGCGGCGGTGGTGGCCCCAGTGGTCCCGGCGGCACAGTCGTCGGTGGCGGTGGGACCACGTTGTCCTCCTCCGGCGGGGCCACGATCCGGTCCAACAGCTTCGAAGCCGAGGACGTCATCGGTCCGTACGGCACGTCGTCGTCCCGGATCGGCAACAGCACAAGCTCCCTGCGAGGACGTTCAGGTTTATATTATTCACCACCCGGTACTTCATATACAATAGTAGAAAGAGAAAGACCACACTCTCCTCATTATTATTATAACACAGCCGGTGTCCCTTCCAAAGGAGGTTCATTGCCAAGTAGAAGTAGTTATTTAGAGTCAGCTAGTTTAGGTGTTTCAACTGGTGCAGGTAAAACTTAGTCTTCTTCAAACAACAACTTTTTTAACTCCCTAGGCTAAGCTCCACACCTTCTACTTCTTCTTCTACTACTTATTGTTCCCCCTTATTTCCCCCCATAGGTTCGTTTCGTATCCCAATTAGATCACCATTAGTTTCCGAAAATTTTGAACTAGTCACCATTCACTATATTTCCTTTCAGTTGATCGTTGTCGTTACGTTACTTGCTAGTTTCCATCTCTTCCATCTTAAAGTAGGATAGATAGCAGTTTCCTCCTGATATTGCGTGCCTCTTACTCTCCGGCATTTGTAATAGATAGAATAGACTTTCCCCCGATTGTTGTATCGTTCTATAGATAGTCTCGCTATCAAGTACTACTATTACTACTGTCCACTTTCGTCATCCTTTTCTCCAGCATGAGTCTTCTGTTTTCCAGCATGGTTGGTTGATCGCTCACGTGTTTCTCTCTCTATATCTCTCTTGGTCTCTCTAGCTCTCATGATGTAGTGTGTAGCGGCTAGACTTGGATACTGAAGTAGGGCCGTGGATTGCTCAGATTTGACTGGATTTAATCATTTGCTTGTAGAGTGTTTACACTTGTGCTGATTCACGTGCTAGTGAGCCTGTCGTTCGCAAATCCATACCTTTTTTTGGTGCTGATTAACATTGGAGCATCAATTTATGGAACAAACTTGATCGAATTACACCAATTTCAGTTAATCAGCATTATGACCCAGCACAAGGGGAAACACCCCATTAGTTCAGGCATCTTACACATGGAATGATTTTTGTAAATTCCAGTTGCTTGAACAATTTATTTCAGAAAAAAAACATGTTGTTCGAAAAATTGCCTCACCTTGATATCAATTTGAACTTTCCAATTTCCGATGAATTCGCCACTAAAGGAGTAGCCTTAAGTCTCCTTGAAGAAGTACAAGCAAAAAGATAGATACGGGAGTCAATCACAGTAGGCTGTTTTTTCACATATAGTCAATCAATTATGTCGATTTTGCAATGTTGTAGGGCAGCCCTAAGTAAGCACCTTTAGAATTGATGAAACGAGCCATAAAATATTAAAAAATATTCCTCAAGAAACAACCAAATCTAGATAGAACTGGAATAAGGACGTAACAGCTTTTGTAAACAATGAATTTTCTCGATGATTTCTCGGAATACAAGGCACGCTGACATAAACCAACAACTCCATCGGGTAGGATAAGTCTTCCTCTACTCGATGATGATATAGATTTGCCAGGGAGAGCCATGACTTCCGAGAAATCATCGAAATAAGTCATTGTTTACAAAAGCCCTATTTCCAGCTCTATCTAGAAATGATCATTTCAAGAGAAAATTTTCATTACGTCGTAAGTAACATTCGCACCAATCCGAGAAAAATAAAGTTTTGTTTTGATGACCGAAAAGTTATTCCTATTTCCAAGTAAACACATATAATCTCATAGTGATAGAAATGTTTAACATATTTAGCAGGGTTTTAATCATACAAATGCAAATCGCTAGCTTTCATGCTAAAAAATACTGGTTTTTGAGTCAAAAGTCAAAGTGTATTTACCAGGATATTCGGGAGAATTATCAATTACGTCTCCTTACGTGCAGCCCATTCATCATTTTAGGACCACCGAAATCATCTTAGCAACAAACAGTTCGATTTATTCACTTTAATAATGAGAAAGCGAAACGACGAACGTACACTTTTTACGGGTTTCTCAGCGCTGTTACTTAAGTCAAACGGAATCTCCATAGAAATTGGGTGACTTAAGTAACATCGAAAACTATTTTGATCGGAAGGTGATTACGTCAAAAAGCAATTTGACTGGTAAATAAATTTAAAAATAGGATTTGATCCTATATTCGGACAGTATATAGTGTAATAGCAGGAGAATCGATTGACACTGATAGCTCAACTTTGTTTACCTTTGTTACATTCGACATAAAATAAACCTCGGTGCAAATCCCTAAAAAAGTGAGGATGATCCATAAAAAATGTTACTTTGATCCATGTTTCATGTAGAATTTAGCAACACAATTGTAAAAATGTACCGCTCAGTTACTAAAGAACAGCCAGACAGATCAGAGAACCAAAGGGAAGTTCAAATAATTTCAAGAAAATTGCAGAAAGGTTACAGAAGTTTCGAGAAATTCAGGAAAATTCCGGTACCTTCAGCAAAGCTCCGAGAGAATTTCTAGAACTTAAAGAAAATTATATTAACTTCAGGAAAATGTGAGAGTATTTTAAGAATTGTATGCGATTATCATGAGAATTTCAAGAACTTTAAAATTCCAGAAATCTTAAAAAAGTCATAAAATGTGTAGATAGTTTTATGATATTCAGCGAAGTCCCGAGTACATCGAGGACGGTCAGATAACTTCAGAGTAATTCCATTTAATTAAAGAAATTGGCAAAGACTTGTAACAAGTTCCGTGGAATTAGGGGATATTAATTAAAGGGCGGTAGGGAATAATGAATATTTAGATAACCTCAGAGAAGCAAAGTATACTTCAGGGATGTCCAGAGAAGTTCAGGTTAGTTATTTAAGGAAATGGTTCCGTGACCGTTAATTTAGTTTACAAAGCTTTTAGAAAATTGTGGAAAATATAGACAATTCAAATAGCTTTACTAAAATTAAGGGTTCTTTTAAAAAAGCTGAGAAATTCAGGACAGTCTAGAGAACTTCAAATCAATTCAGAAATCTTTTGGACAGTTTTGATAACATCAGAAATGTCTAGGCTATTGGAAAAGTTATGAATAAGTGTCGATAATATAAGGGACGTTCCATGAGCTTCAGGAAAATCTAGAGAACTTCAGTGAACACCTTTGATTTATTTAATTTTGTGAGACAGCGGACGGTCTTATGAAGGCCAAGTCTCACACTACAGAAGGCATTATTTTGATTCCAGAAAAACTGAGGGAACTTAATAAAAATTCAGAAATTTCAGGGAAGTCAAGGCATTTCAGAAGATCCTCAAAAGCTTCACAGAAGTCCACAGATCTTCAGAAAAACATCGAAAACTTCATAGAATTCCATGGAACTTTAGGGAAAATCTGAGAACTCCATGAATGTTTGGAAAATGTGGGAAAATTTAAAAGAAGCTTCGTAAGCTCCAGTGTTGGCAAAATCATCGATCAAATTATATTTTTCAGCTCTCATACGCTCTCAATATCACGCGTGATATTGGAACAAAATATCATGCTTGATATTGATTTAACAAGCTCCTTTGATATTGCGAGACTATTCACAACGTGCAAGAATCAAGCGGAGAGTTGACTAGACACAAAAATCATTCCGTTGCACATCGTTTTCTTAGAAAGAGAAAGTATAGTATGCTATCTCTTTTTACTGTTCACCGATGACAGACAAGAAGTGACTGCTGCCAGCCATTATGGAAATTTCGTTTGCGTTCGGGTGCAACGCAAAAATCATTAAACTCAATCTCACCCCAGTTTGTTGAGATTTGCAGCTGGTGAGTTTAGTTAGCTTGATATTCCAAGCTGCAATATCACAGCTTGCAAAATAAACCACAGCTCTATGCTTGGTGATTTTTGTCTACGAAAATCAAGCGTGATCTTGAGCATTGATGAGATTTGATTTTTTGATATTTTCCCAACACTGGTAAGCTCCAAAAATTCTGGAACTCCAGCAAAGTTCTATGCTTTTCAGAATACTAACGGGAAATTTTGAGAAGTTCCAAAATTTTCAAGGAGAATTCCCAGAATTTCATAGAACTTCAATAAGTTCAGTGAACTTAGACATTTTAAGGAAAATTTAGTTGAATTCATGGCAGAGCAACAAGCTTCACGAGAACTGCAAAAACATTAGAAATAATTCTAGTATTTCAGGAAATAACAGAGAACCTCAGACTAGTTCCAGATGCTTTAGAGATATAAAATAATTTTTGTTAAAAGTTTCGAGAACTTCAGCGAATTTTGAAAACATCAGAAACTTCCGAGAATTTAATAAAAAATGCCGAACATTTACTGCCGTGTTATGAAAAAGTGACGTAAGCGATTCCATATTCGAATTTTGCATCCTGCACCCATTAACATTTAACAGCCCAAAATTTCATATTGAAGCAAAGTGGCAATATGAGGTTAGCTCTACATTTTAGGAGAATCAGTGATATTTTTTCACTGTTTCTATACATAAGTGACGTCTGCCATAAATAAATGCTGAAAAACTTAAAGCTTTTTTAAACATTAACGTTCATACTCAACAATATAGCATTTTTTAGATCATATTTAACAGGTCCAGAAATTTTTTTTTAATGTTTGAAATTATTGCGAGGTTAAACAATAGTATTTGTTTTCTGAACAATTCACTAAATGGATTTATGTCACTTTGCTATCTCACGGCCGTTTGAAAAATTAAGAAACTTTAGGGAAGTTCAAAAAAGTTCATATAAATTAAAAAAAAAATGAAGAGAAGTATTGTGAGTATCAGGCTGGTTTCTCAAACTAAAAAAGGACTTCAAGACAGTTTGGACAACATCAGGGAAATTTTAGGATTACGAGTAGTTCCGAATTTTTCATCGGAGTTCTCCTCAGCGTTCACTTTGTATTCTCCTGAAGTTCCATAAATTTTTGAACGCTTCTTTGTATTCTATAAAAATATCACCGGAATATATTTGGAATAGGGGAAATGGCTCGAATGTTGCCCTATGGATCAAATATTGGGCCCATCGCTAAAAATCTGCTTTTTATCAATTTTATCTAGATGAACGCGTCATTGGGACGGTTCTAATGGATATTTTTCGACGCCATTGAAAATTTAGTCGATTGCTGAATTTATGTATAGGCCCAAATTAGGGGCATTAAGGACGACATTACAACCTTTTCCGCTACTTCTCAGAATTCCCATGAAATATTCCTCAAAACGTTAGAATTATCCTCAAAATTAAATTTTCTTTAAATTTTCGGAGGAATTACATTGAAATTCTTCTCAGGTTGAAACCCTTTGAATAATTCTCAGAATTGTCATTGAATCCGTTTAAGAAT